GGTAGAGAGGGGTGAAGGGGGGGGGGGGGGGGGGGGGGGGCAGGAATCGTAGGTGTATCAGTTCCTGCTTCAAAAATACATGAACATCTTAGTTGGTGAGCATGAATGAATGAAATTTTGAATGAAAACGGTAACAGATGTAAACTGAATGGAATGCTAATTGTATTGCTTAACTATATGTATATGGAAAGGTGTATAATTAGCATAGTATTCAGAAGATAGAACCTTTTACAGACAATATGGAACGAAATGTGCTGCATGTGAACGAATGATCCAATCAACTGATTGGGTAAGAAGAGCACGTCTCTATGTTTTCCATTTAGCTTGCTTCGCCTGTAATCAATGTAAACGGTATGCTAACTATACTATATAAACATATACAACTCTTTTTAAGTCAGTTATCAACTGGTGAAGAGTTCGCCTTACAAGATTCTCGCTTACTATGCAAACAACATTTTGTTGAACTGGTTGAAGGCGAAAGTGGTAACATATCCAAAAATGTTTTTATTTTTATGTTTTTCTTCAAAGGTCAACAGAAGCAGAAAACAAAACGTGTTCGAACAACGTTTGCTGAAGAACAGCTCAGTGTCTTACAGGTGTTCTCTCTCCTTACATCTTCTTACGAACCATCCTTCTTTCAAGGCTCATTTTCAAATTGACAGTAATCCCGATGGAGCTGATCTCGAACGAATTGCCAACATAACCGGCTTAAGCAAACGAGTAACACAAGTTTGGTTCCAGGTAAGGTGTCTCACTAAATAACAACCGATATTCATGTCTGCATAACATAAAATGAACCACGTAAACAACTTTCACGTCGATTTCATGTTAATTTCACCTCGGTCTCACGTGGCATTTCTCGAGTCTGCTTTGATCTATCACAAACGAAGGAAAAACTTTCGAAACAGTATTTTTCGATTTCGATGCGAAAACAACATTGCTCGAATGAAAGTTTTGTCCCGAAAGAGCCACACCCGTTTGTTACATTAGATAGACTTCCAAGTATCCACCTCTAACACGTAGACGAGGACGACAGCCGTGTTGAAATCATCGGTTGGACAGCCTCGAGAGAGATAGTTTAGATTGTGAATTCATTGGCAAGGTCACATTTAGATTAATTTCAATTTTAGTTGCATTTTCGGGTTTGGATACTAAAACAGACTGATTTCAGAATTCGAGAGCGCGTCAGAAGAAGTACCAAGGCGGACGGAAGGGAGGTGAAAGTGGAGCTGAGAGTCAGCGTTCCTCTGTTGGTCCAACAAGTCCCAAGAGCGAGAACAGTAGTGACGACATGATCTATCCAACATCTGTAACAACCGGGTAATACTTTCATTCCATTCATGCCTTGTTAATATGATTCTGTTAAAGAAGTGACGATATGATGATGTCTGACACACCTACAGCTGCAGCCTTAGCCTCGCTTCACTATGAATAATGATTACCATATATTATGGTATAATATGATTGTTTAACTATAAATTCATCTGAATATTCCGTTCATGATGAAGAAGATCAGGTTTATATGGAATATATCAGAATTCTCCTTCTTTTTCTTTGATTTTTGAAGATCTTATTGATGTTACATGTATTGGCGGCCATAATCCGACGGTTTTTTGATCTCTGCATCATTTCCTAACTTCGTTCTAGTCATTCTCTGATAGTTCAAGCTTTAAGCTTCATCATACATGCAACTTCATTGTTGAGAAGGAAAATATGTTTTGATTGTTACTTATGCTCATCCTGCTTTGCCTCTCTCTCTCTCTCTCTTTGTGATGATTGCAATATTGAAAAGAAGTTATAAATATGATTAAATATTCAAAAAAGGAAGTTCTTAGCACAGTTGAAAACGAGTCCCTTTGTAATTCTGTAAGACGACACTACTCCAGAAAAGGAAGAAAAAAGAAAAAGAGATAAAAGAATATCTGGTCAATAGACTGAAAAGAGAAATATCGAAAGAGGGTGTTGAGAGAAAATATGTTGATGGTAATAGAAGAGAGAAATATAATTATTTAACAGGTAAATTGTGAGAGAGAAAGAGGAAAACGAGAAAAAAAGAAAAATTTAGAAAAGCAGATAGATCGTCTATGGGCGAAGGCAGAATTTTGCCTGAAAGTGTTTCTCTTACCCTACAAGGTCATAGCAATTCACACTTGCATATTCATCCCAGCCGCACCAAAATTGGTCAAACACAAAAGGAGAAGTCATATTTAGACTGTAGAATGAGTTGAATAGTTGGCAGTGGGAGGTATGACTGAAGAATCATGGAAGCTTGTCCATGTAAGCTTCACTGACGATGAAGAGATGATCTGTCAATGCAGGTTGTACAGCCAGAAGCTCAAATACTATGAAAGATGCATATGCTAAGTTGGAAAGCTGAACTGTTTGATCAGTCCATGGATATGAAGCTTCAAAAAGAAGTTGACATCTTCTAGAGTTGTCGAGAGAGAAGAATTGATTAATTTATAAGATGAAAAATAAAGGAGAAACGAAGGGGAAGAAGTATCTCTCGACCCTGCTAAGGCTGTAGGACGGCAGCACATGCAAATTCATGTATAACCAGTTTTTCATACTCTTACTATCGTCTTCCCACCCTTTTGTCAAATCAACTTAACTACCACCACATAGACCTCTGTATTTTATTTTCATTTCCCATTTTTATTTTATAAAAATAAAGTTTCAGATTCAGATGAAGAGTAAACGAGAGAGGGAGAGAGAGAGAGAGAAAATTGAAATGAGTATGGTATGATGGAAGGAGAGAAGCAGTAGAAGACTGTCTCCAGCTGATCCAATTGATGATCAATAGGGGTAAACCTGAATACTTGGAGCGCATCGTTCATTCATATGCTCACACATTCAATTCCAATTATGGTCTGAACAAAGAGTATACGAAGAAGTAAATGAATGATAATCTCATTATCATTATCATTAGCTTTCAAAGCAATTTCTTTAATAGTTGTGTCAATTTGATTGATTAAACACTCGTCTGATCGATAATCGTCACTCCACTCTCCATCTCATCATCATCATCCATCCATCTATCTATCCATTTCTTGTTTTTTATTTTAAAAAAAGAAAAAAAAAACTTTTTCAATTTCTAATAAGACTATTGTGGCTTTTGCAAGCTTCTCCTTCATATTTTGTCATTTCGGATTGTGTTTTATGATGAACCGAATGTCGTTTATCCGATTACGACGACCATGCATCGAGTGTCGTCGTTATTGAAATGATCTTATCGTTTTTTCATCAGAAACTTTAAGAAGAACAAGCTTTTCGTTGAAGCCTTTAAGAAATGATTGAAAGCAAAACTATTATTTGATTAAATGATATTTGAGAACTCCCTTGCCCCCTCCCCTTGATACATCTCCCCCCTCCCACCACCTCCCTTCTCTCTCTCTCTCTCTATTCCATATGGAGTAATTATGACAAATTGGTTGAATGCAATGAACCTGATTAGGTATGGCCACTAACTTATCATTCTCGTCTGTTCTCACACGAAATTTACCTTAAAACTTGATTTTCCACGTCATCACGTAAACATCTTCACGTAAAACGTGAACGAGTGTCTCCTTTATTCATATTTATTGTGTTGCAAATGAATAGCGGTTGCATTCTCTCTATCCACCCCCACACATACTTTACCTCTATCTCTCTCTCTCTTATTCTCTTTTAAGCAAATTTTACAAAAATTCTCTATTTCCTCACTCAAAAGCTTTTCTTTCATCATTTTTCTCTTATTCAATTGACAAAAATCAGACGGAAGGCAAGCAGTAGCAGCAGCCGGTATGCAAATAATCATCATCGACCAAGCTGCTGTTTCTCTTTTCCACTTACTTACAACCTCCTCACCTCTCTCTCTCTCATCGCTCTTCATTCATTCATTTTTTGTCGTTACCTTTCCTCCACTCTCACTTCATCCTATTCCGTATGACATTGTGTCTTTTCGACCTCTTTCATCTCTCTTCTCTTACTCAATCGTCCATCCTCCTCCTTCTTCTCCCCCCCCCCCTCTCCCCACCTTCGTATTTTACCGCTTTTTGCCCCTCGTTATGTATCCTGTACTTCTCACCTTTTGATTCAACAACTCTTTATATTAAATATTCCTCCATTGCATTCCCTTCTTCACATCTCCCTCCTACCCTCTCATCCTCCCTCCATCTCCATATATGTATATACATTGCTCTTCTTCTTTATAAATTTATGTTTAGACAATTCCTTGCATATGTTTCCTCTTTCTCTTTTTAATTTTCCTTTTTTATAAACGAAATTCTGTAATTATCGATCGATTTGGGCAAAGTTTATTTAATTTCTGTGTCAATTGGAAGGAGAGAAGCGAGCAAGTTTTGCAAATTCATCCATCGCATCAGATAATTGAAGATCTTAAATGCTTCGAGGAAGGAGATAGAGAGATGGCTGTGGCTTCTCCTCCTTTCTGTTATCCAAAGTTCATTAACAGTTTTCATCAGATTTTTGATGATTCGCCCCTTAATCAGCTGAATAAATAATTAAAGGGAAGCAGTCAACCTCTCTCCCCCCCTTCCCTTCATCCTCTCCCCCTCTTTCCTCAGCCCCATCACCCCACCATCAGCGTTTTTAGTAAATTAAAATGAAATTTTAGCATAAAGCATCTCTCTCTCTCTCTCCCTCTCTATGTTTGCTCTGAGAGCTTTTCCTTCTCCTTTTTTTTTAAAACAAACTATTATTAATGCACATGTGTATATTAAGTGAGGCTTACATATTATATTGATAACTTATCAATTTTTATGTTCAAGCTGCATATGCTAATTGCTCAATTTCGCCCTCAGGCTATGATTTTGCCATTTTTGCTTAATAACTTGCACTTTCATGAACATGAAAGGACAAGTTCCAGATGCATTTGAATCTAACGGCTACGGCTGTATTCTAACTGTCTCAAGTGCCAATTCCAGTTTCATTTCTCTATTAAGCTTCATCATCATCATCATCAACCCCTCCCCTCCCTTTCCTTTTTCAAATATTACTTCCAATTTCTAATTTATGCTAATTTCTCAATTGATTATATAATTATAGTTAAATAACATCTAATGTGTCAAATTTCAAATGAATTTTGAACCTTTCAAACTAATTTCAAATATCATGTATGAGAGTAGAGGACAGATTACAAAACCAAAAAAGCCAACAAACAGGCGACTCGCTTGGAACTATTCTGTCTCTCTTCGCCACCTAACCCTTGCAATCTACCCTCTCTATCACACACTGTTTCTTTCCACTTCCACACATTCCAACCTTTATCATCAATTTATTTCTTTTAATTTCCTTCTTTCTCTCTCTCTCTGTCTCTCTCCTTCCCCCCCCCCTCCCTATATGCTAATTTCATGTTAAATTTCACGTGAAAAACACGTGTCCACCCATAATTCATTCATTCAATTCATTTTGACGTCACAACGACTAATGAACGGTTGAAGATAGAAGTAAGCGGTTGTGTTCTCAACCTTTACTTTCTCAGAAAGAACTCTCTCCCCCTATCTCTATCTCTCTCTCTCTCTCTCTCTCTGTTAATGAATAATTAACTGAAATGATATAATCGATAAGTACAGTCCTCCCTGCTTCCTCTTCCTACTCCTCCTGCCATCTACCTCATCATCATCATCATCCAGACAGAGATTCTATTAATAATATTTGTTTATTCAATTATTAATTATATATTTATCCATTGAACAACAAAAAATTTATTTTTCTCCACCCTCCACCCTCATTGTTGAAAGGAAAACTGTAACCGCCTCTATCAGATTACCAAACAAACAATTGAAGAAAAAATAAATTCAAATCACAAGGAATTGGAATTAAACAATCCAATTAGCGCAATTATAGTTTATAGTTATTAAAATTCTATTTGGCATGCATATTCTCGTTGTTTTCATTAAAAAAAAACTTTAGAGAGATGATAGATTGAGAGAGAGGGAGAGTGTGACAGAGATAGAGAGACACCTTTCAAACATCTTTTCTCAAGTCATTTCCACTTAGAACAATAGGTAATTATTCCTTTTTAGTTAGCAAACATACCATTTGATTCTTTCCTTGACCAACAGTTCCTCTCGTCGTCAACGTCGACTTCAGCATTCCAACGGCATCATCGTCGTCTCTACTCTAAATAGCATTTTTCCATCTTGAATATCGTTAGCTTCGCCTTTTATGACCTTAGCAAAGCTATCTTCTTCTTCTTCTTCTTCTTCCGTCTTTTTTATATTCGAGAAATTAAGTGATTGTCTTGCATCTAACAACTTCTCCTTCGCTCTTCCAAATTTCCTGGAGTGTCGTCTAATGCCCGTTTGAGACCGAAGCCTTTTGATTCTTCTTACGAATCGTTCAAACTGCAAAATGAATAGAAAATTTTTAAATAAATACACTTCGAGCATATCATAAACTGACGTCAACTGTATATTGCAAGAGGACGAAGCC